CAATTTATTGATACCTCTATAATTATTTATATGACTACTTATACTTAATTGTCACAATATATAATTTTAGTATTTCTGTAATTCACTTCACTTGGGTTGCCAGGCGAGGGCGTGGGCACGCCTGGGGTGGGTAGGTAACAAAATTGTGACGCAACAATTTAGAGGTTTTTGAAACGGGTCCTTCTGCAGACACCAGCAGAACATCTATTTATTCCGAAAAAACACCAGTTTTTTGTTTTGTTTTGGGGATTTTTTTACTCTTGGACTGTCTCTAGAAGTAGGAGATAGCCATATGGTCGTACAGAAACATACAAAATGTGAATTTTGGATAATAGTGGCCCTTCAAAATTATTTGTGCAACAAGGTCCTCTAGTGGACAGTAAAGGAACAGGATGGACAACTCGGTATGAAACAGACCTGTTTGCCCTGTAAGGTACCTTGAGATCATGTTTGTTGTGAAGAGAAGAGACACTTATTAAGATAAAACTACAGAATATTTGCTTGAGTGTCTTGATGCTGACAGAGTCCCTGGAAATATTGTTCAAACACACTTCCAAACGCTTCTGTGTATGCAGCTGTAAGCTTTATTTAATGTTTAAACAAGAAACGACAAGTATCACAGTGATCTGACAAAAAAATAAAAAAGTAAAAGTGCTCCAAAAACACAATCAAACTTTTTTCTCTCCACAGTACAGACATCCAACAGAGTACTACTGTGATATTAGCTCACTCTAAAAGTGAAAAATCCAGGAAGGATGAGAGATGAGACAACAGCTCCCTCTAAAGGCTTCGCCTGGGTTACTGCATGATGAAACTGAATTAGCACATTCTCAACTAAACATACAACTCGTAAAGAACTTGGCGAAAGTCTGCATGGTATCTTGGACATCATTTAGTTATTAAAAGTTAGACAAAGAGAAAGTATAAATTCGAAACTTGTGTTGAGGTTTATTCTCTTTTTTTTTTAAGATAACATGATAGTAGGAAGGAGATTTTAGCAGGGAAGGATCATCAGAGTGAGATGTGCAGTGTTTAAACAGCTTAAAATTACACAAATACATAGAAATACAGTGTTTAATTGCTAAACCTATTTTTTATAGTTACAAATGAAAATAAATAAGTACATAGATTTTTTTTTTCTTACATCTGGAAGCTTTACCTGTGTTTTTATTGTCTGTTTCACAGCCTTTATGTGACATCAGAAACTTCCAAAAAAACAAACAAGAAAAAAATCTGGTGTTTATTATTTTAAGGTAAAAATTAAAAATGTGTTTATTTTTTATTGTAACAATTAGATTGTACATAAGATGTACATAATGCTGTAACAATGTCAGGAAATCAAGATTTTTTTTATTAAAACCAGAACAGCTGTTTTCTTTCAGCAACAATGTGTCAGAACTAGTTCAGTAATTAAATATGCTTATTTGCTGACTTGGCAAGAACTAAACAAAAATAGCTGCTTTTACGTTTAACATACGCTACATAAGGCAGCTAATTAGCTTAGCAACAGTATGCTGTTTGCTTTGTCAATTAAATATCAAACACTATGCTTAGTTTGAGATTCCAAATGATATCTAAAAATACATTTATATGTGGTAGATGATCAAAAAAGGCTTTTTTTTCCGATTTGCTGTAGAACATGTGTAAATCGCTGGCTGTAGTTAGTTTAGCTTAGCATTATCTTCTGACAAATGATTCAATGCTATGGTGAGTTTCTGGTTCAAAATGATACTGACAGAGTTCTATGTGTTAATGTGTCTGATGTTCAGAATAGGCAACATTTTGCTGTTGTGGGTAAAATACTCTGACTTCAGCTGCTAAGCTTAGCTTAGCTGTTTCCTTTTATCAAGTAAAAAAAAAAAATTACAATAGGATCTTTTTCTTCTTTTGTGATGACATTTTGTTTGTTTTTATTGAATGTGCCTAGTGTCCAGAAATGGCAAATATTTTCCATTTGAACTTTCTATTGAATTTTATTTCCTGCTAGCTAGCTTAGCTTAATATCTTATTTTATTGATTAAAGATGAGACATTAAGCTAAGTTTCTTGTATTATTAATTCAAAATAATATTTTTAGAGTTTTAAATGCTATGTTAAACTAAGCTAACTAGCCATGGGCAGCTTAAACTAGATATAGTTAGCTTAAACTAACAGCTTAGTTTAAGCTAACTATAGCTGCTAGTAAGCCACGTAGCAACTAAGATAATTTCCTCTAGCAAAACAGTGTGTTTCTTCAAAATCTCAAACTATTTCTTTTGAGTTCACTTTCAGGTTGTGAACAATGGTTTACAATGTGCTGACTTGAATCTTTATATCCCTTCCTTACATTCCCTAAATAGCTGCATCACTGCTCATTCCTTCACTTCATCTCCTACCCTTACTCAGGACCTGTTACTGTCGCCATGTTCCTCCCTCTGGCCTTGTTTTCCAGCTGCCGGCTAATAACATTATACTGTCTCTCCCACAGAAAACGTATGACCGTCATAGGAGCTGGCTACACCAAAACTGGACTTCCACCCTTATCTGCAGAAAGTGCTACGATACTGGAAAAAAATATTCCTAAATTGTCAGGCTCAACACAGCTGCTGAGGCCAAAACATCTTTAGAACAAACAGGATGTCTGTGAAACCAAACTGCTTGTGTGAGTACACTCACTTGGTGGTTTACCGGCATAAAGAACAACCTTAATAAGGTTTTGATTTATGGATATGTTCTTGTAATGTTAGAAGAAGAAAAAAAAGCATCTGTGAAAACAACTAGTTTTTTCTCCCTAAAACATGGAGTCTAAACAGAAAAAAACAGAAGGGTAAATATACTGTGTGTGTTTAATTTAATTTAATTTTTTTAGATTTGGCAGCACAATGTGCGCCAGTTTCCAGCATGAAAGTAAAGAAAATAGCTCTAGCAAGCTGGTCCCTTGAATTTGTAAGTCACATGGTTCCCTCTGGCAGTAAATGAGCCAAAACCGTTTCCTGTTTGATCTAAGCTCATTTTGGCCTAACCCTAACCCGTGCCTGATCCTATCTGCCACACCACAAAAACATAAAACCTAAAATTAAAAAAACCCTAAAATCCTCGGTTACGTTCTCGCCGTGATGCCCGACGCGCTCGTCTAGGAGCTGATGATCTGACCCGACCAGGTCTCGTGCTTGGTGCCTGGGTTCAGGTGGGTGATGACCACTTCCACAGCCTGGACTTTCTGGTTCTTGGGGGGGATCGGACACACCTTGTATGTGACCTCGTCTCCTTCCATAGGCACGTACTCCCCGTCAATGCTGTCCAGAGAGGAGAAATTACGATAAAATAAGAACCGCATGAAAGTCAAAGGCTCAGCTTGAATAGACCTTTTAACCTCAGGAAGGATCCCAAGCAGTGCTATTACAAATCAGAGTACATTCTCGCAAATTTAAGCAAACACTGCAATTTAAAAAAAAAAAATGGTTTTGCTGCCAGGATGAGGTGGTTTTTGAAATTGTTTTTTTTTTTTTGTTGTTGTTTTTTTTCACAAAACTGCAGTGGAAACACTTTTTTTTTAACATCACATGAGTCATGTGATCACCAACCGGATGTTGCCACTGGCGCAAACCATGAAGAAGACGACGAGAGGAAGTAGTTGGAGGATGATGGTGTGGCATGTTTAATGACTCATTGCGTGAACAAACTTATTGACGTGATTAATGGAAACACCACAACTGTAAAATTTTGTTTTTTCAACAATAGCTGAATAACGAAAAAGTTTTGAGCACAATGTTAATGCAGAAAAGGACAGAGCACTATCTTTCCCCAAAATCCATTGAAATCCATGAAAGTAAATAGGTGACAAAGATAGATTTCAATCTCTGAATTTTAAACTCTCTTGTTCCAGGATTGTGAAGCAACTGGAATGTTACCTCAAGGAAAATGGCAACCAGCGTTGAGAAACGAGGACACGACAGTTTGCCCCCCAAAACAACGGCCACCAGCTCTGGAAGAGTCAGCAGTGATTGCATAAAATGAAGGATGGTGTGCTTGGTGAGGAAGACTCACTCAGAAATGTGAACGAAGATGTCCTCTCCTCCATGAGAAGGACGGATGAATCCATGACCCTGAGATCTGGAAAAGTTTTTACACACACCCTTAAATACAGGACCTGATCTGGCTCGTACCGTCCTACAGAGAGAGAAAGACGTAGACATGGACAGGCTGATTTAATACAATTGTAGTTTGAAGCTCTTTCTTAAAAGACTCAAAAGAAAAACACGAAAGGCAAACTCTTGTATTGTGTTTTTACTCACGCTGAGTATGTGCGTGTGCGTTTTGTTGGCAGTGGGCTGGGTAGCTCTCCAGGCTGAGGTGGTTTCCTCTCCCTCTCCCAAACACGGCTGCCTTCCCTCAGGAAAGGAAAAGAAAGCTGCAGGGGAGCGCGGGGGGACGTCAAAGGCAGCTGGGGGTCTGTCGGCAATGATGGGTCGGTGCCTGACATCTTGGCTTGGCTTAGGGTTTCCGTGGCACACAAAGAAGAAAAGAGTGGAGGGTTATACCTCCTGCATGGCACAAGGGTTTCTGACGGGGAGAGGAAGCCCAGAGAGGAGCTCTTCAAGGTGGATGGATGAAGCTATGACACCCTGAAGCGGAGAAGGCAAAAATAAAGGGTGGAACATTTGTTGAAGAGTCAGGCAGTGTGACTGCATGCTAAAGGGTTCAATGAGACCGAGGTCAGGAATGCAGGGCATTCCTTCCTCTCTGCTCCAAATTCTGGAGGTAGTCTGACAAACACTGCTCTATGGAACAGAGAGTTCGGTCACTTTACATTGAGATGCCACCCCACAACATCATGCTGCCTCCACCGAAGGTTTGGCAACGACAAAACCAGTGACATCACAAACCATTATTAACAAGAAGTCATGTTGCGGCCCCTCATGTACATTTGTTCCGTCTCTGGGACCTAAAGGGTTTTGAAGGATGATGTTGACGTTGCCTGTAGCTTTATAAATGGCACCGAAAGAAATGAATGAAGGCGTTCTGTCCGTGTTGAACAAATATTGAATTAACATTAAGAGCCATCTTGTTTCGATCGGTTCGTCTCCTTTTACGGTGGAGGATGGTTGTTTACAGCGCAGGTAATTTCCAATAAGCTTCAAAGTGTTGAATTGGAACAGTACATACATACAGTACATACAAACGTTAGCAATTGGGTAACATTTAGAACCTCAAGGAAGCCTACAGGAAGCAATCATTTCTCAATAGCCGAGGGTCCAGACACTCTGAATGAAGCAAAGCATAGAACAAGGCATGTACAATGAATTTTTGATCAATTAGTACCTGGACAGGAAGGAAGGAATGAAATAAGATTTTTTTTTTTGCTTCATATTCTGACTTAGCTCTGAGTTATCAATCCACATTGGATTGGTAACTCGGGGAAATAAAATCAGTTATGAGGACTTTGAGCTTTGCTCATTCTTTTAAACACACTAGTATCATGTCCGAAGTTCTCAGCCCACAGTTTGAGACCAGAAAAGACACACTGCTGCTGTTATGAAATGATTCATCATCGTTTGGCATGAATCAGACATGTGGATAATAGCACATGAAAAGGCTTTATCACTTGGGACCATCACGAATCAAGTAAAAGTAGTACAACTTCCAGCAAAAAGAAATTCAAAAAAGGACATCCTGTTAGAACTTAACATTTTTTCCCCCGTCTTTTTTAGTTTTTATTTTCCCTAATCTGTCATCATAAAGTTTCCCCCCAAACCACCACTAAAGGGTTTTAAAGTTGTGCTTCCAGTAGAGGTGTGACTGCACATTTTGGCATCGATCCAATAACAAGTAAATACAGGGCCAATACTAATACCGATACTTTTTTGTAGTCAAAGTTTGACATATCATCAAACTTCTGACCTAGAGGTGTTTTTGTAGTTTTTCCTTTCAATTACGTAGTGCCACATTAACATGAGAAACAATAGAAAAAGGTTTGTGTGCATTTTTTTCTAAATAAAGTGCAAAAAATACATTTGAGAGCAAATCAAACCAAAGTCATCCTTGATGTAGAGTTGAGAGAAACAAAAAGTATTGATCTTACCATGCTATCATCAATCCGATACCGACTTGGTATCAATATTATTGATCATTTGGATTGATGCCTCTACTTGGTTTGTGGAAATAAAGCCAAGTCTGTCACAGCTTGTGGCAGCTAAAAAAACTCCCAATATGAAATATAATATGAAAACAATCCCCTTCAGGATCCTCTGATCAGACATTATTAGATAAAAAGTATTACTTCCACAACACTAACATTAATTACGGTTTATTCAAAGATGAGCTGCTCGTTGGATCGTTTCATAACAGCCATTCCTGAGCACAAATGAGCTCAGTCACCTACTTGACACAAACCAAATTATCCGGTGAATTGATCTGTATCATTAGTCGGCTCATTATTATGACAGTCTGTGGACACACTGATAACTGCAGGGCATCGTCGAACAAAGGTTCAGCGCTCACACCGAAACCTTGTTTGTAATGAAAACACAGCTGCGGGTGGAAGAGTCACCAGCTTCATCAGCGGCCGTATACAGGCAAGCTGAAAGCCTGAGAAAGACTGATGAGGTAAGTGTGTGTGCGTGCGCGTGCGTGTGTGTGTGTGAGAGAGAGTGATTCCCGAAGGCTCCAAGCAGCACACTTTGTGCCTCTTCCCATCAGTCTATATATAGTTCAGGGTGGTTGGATTGGGGCCATTACTGAGGTGGACTACAATGTCCAGGCAGGAGACCTGAAGTCTTACTCACACACTTTTTATTCCTTAGATTAGTAATTAAGTGTTTCAGCTTCATATCTGGGGCAGATTATGAGATAACTGAGTAAAATAACTGATGTTGTGTTTCATGAAAGATATGTTTGAGCAGAGGTTTTGCAGATTCTTGTTATCCCTTTTTACATTTAAATATTTTGGCTCATCAAACACAATTCGGTGTCTATAATGGCTATTGGGAGGGTCACTGTATGAGTAAAAACTCTTAAGTTTTGAGATTAATCTCATACACTTTCTAGAAAGAAAAAAAACCTTGGAAATTATTACTGAGCTCCAAAAGCCAACATGTTTAAAATTTTTGAAACTTAGAAAATTTTGAAAAAGTAAAACAAAAAAAGTGGACTTTTGAAACTCAGAAATGTAATTTTTTCTAGAAAAATATTGAGGTTTATCTAAAATTCCCTAAGTTGTTCAAGCAAATTTTTGACATTGTAAACTTTTTAGATTGAAAAATTAAAAATTAAAAAATTTATTCTTCCTTTTCTTTCTTCTATCTGCAATGGTCCTAATATATCAGAGGAAGAAAAACTGTTCTAAAGTGATAATTTTTAAGGGGAAAAAAAGTCATCCGAAGTATAAAACTAACTAAGCATATTTGCATTACCACAACATGCTTTTCTTCCTTTATTTTGTTTCCCCTAAACTTGATATTTATGCTTATTATCTATAATGTGTTTGAAACTAAAGTCAGACTTCTTTCGTTGCCATAAAAGTTTGGTCAATAAAGTGAGAAAAAAGTATTTATTCCAAATAAGACAATAACAATATATACAGCAATAGACATGTGATCAATAATAATATATTCATTAATTTTACTGACCTCTGATTCAGAACTGCACAGCATTCTGGGGGATGTAGGCAGAGGAAAGACTTTAGGCGCTCAACCTCTAACGGCCAGCCAAGCGAGGTGGGTGGCATCCAAATTCTTTAATAATTTTCTCCATATTTATTTTATAAAATAGTTAACAAAGTCTTTGTCAAGTTGGCTGTAGGGATGGATCAGATTTCTTTCTGCTCCTCTTGCTCCCATGTTCCGCCTCTTATGTGTGCATCTGTGCATTAGAATCAAAATGCCAAGAAATAAATATCAACAATCCTACAGCCATAAAAAAAAAATCTATAAACCATTTTAGCTGCAGTAAGGTAATGGCTTTGTGAGCTTTAACTTGAAATAAAAAAATGATTTTAGTGTTAATCTCAGCAACTCCAGTTGTTTTCTACAGAAACAGAAACATGGTGTTATTTTCTTGTGCTGTAAATTTCTCCTTACCGTTCACTTTTGTTCTTATTGTTCTTTTTTAATATATATTCTTAACCTTTGTGTGAATTTCTATGCTGCTATTTGTCTTTCACTTTGCTGCTGATGCACCTGGCTTTTCCCCACTGAGAGGCAGGAAAGAATATTTCTATGTTTTGTTTTGTTTTCTGCTCCAGTCCATGTAAATTACAGATGGCTGACGTTTGCAGGTGGTGCAGATGCAGTGATTAAGAGCATGTCTTGGAGTCACAGAGGAAAGGACGGATCTGAGGACTGCTGGAGGAAATCGGACAATAAATAATTCACAAACTTGACTGGCTGAGTTAGCCCACTTGTAAGACTGCCAGCAGGCCAGGAATTTGACTTTAACGAGTCTGCAGTGAATGTTTTACACCATTTACTAAAACATGTCAGGGGTTTCAGTTGTAGATTTTAGTACTGAAGGGAGAATAAAGGGCCCAAAAGCACCACCCAAGTGAAACCAGGACACAGTGGCCATCTGCATCAGCATGAGGGGCACGTCAACTCCTCTAAACACACACACACACACACACACACACTGTCTTTAAACTTTAAATTGGCCGTTTTAAGGGACAAGTGGCCTGTTTTGTGGTCTAATCTGACGGAGGCTGAGATTAGCAGGGACTAAATGATTTAATAGGCAACACAAGCCCTTCAGGCGGGCTGTTTCCAGAACATTCTCACACTGTGGAAGCGGAGGACAAGAAGGGAAGAGGATGCCTGTGGACAAAACCTCATTTCTGCCGTAAAAGGACGTACTCTGACGTGCCGCCTAGAAACAAATATCACTATTTGTATTGTCATGTCGGAATTTTAAGCAGGTGCCATGATGTTCAGACAAGTGACCGGTTGAAAGGATAAAGAACAAACAAACAGGGGGAAAAAAGACAGATGAACGATTACTCACCGTTAAAAACGTCGCGAGGACGTCAGAATGTTTCTTCTTCTTAAATAAGGCAATTATGTAAGTAGATCCGGCGAAAAGGTGCGGGAACATGAGCTGAATGAGTGAGGGGATTTTGGTATGGATGCGTCTCACACACACACACACACACACACACAGAGAGAGAAAGGCAGCGAATGAAAGAGGAGGCAGCAGAGACGGGGCGTGGGGAGGGGGGAGCTCCAAACAACAGCCGGCTTCACTATACCACAGTCAATTCTTTGTTGTCAGAATGGATGGAAACAGCGACTAATCTATCAGTCAGTGGAGCTTTAAGGACAACACTGCTTACAACATGACTGCTTCATGGGATCATATGTGACTTAATATTTTACTACTTTTTTTTAATTCACAGTTGTTTGGTACGACTTTAGATAGAGGAAAAACGTAGTACATTTCTGCCAAAGAATTCAGATATTTTGAGATTAGACTCAGAAATTTTCGTTGGAAACAGAAAAGGTTTCAAACGTGCATTGCTTATGTATATGCACGTTTTTCTCTTTTCCTACTCATTGCTTGTTTTCTTGTTTTTAATAACCTGTTTGAAATAAATGAAAATGAAAAGTCGAAAATTTTTTCTACATTTGGACATTTTTTGAATTTGAAAAGTCGAAAATGTTCGGCTTTTGAATCACTTCTTTCCTTGGCGTTACTTACATGGGTGTCAATTTAATTTTCATCTAGGACCATCAAGATCATAAATGTCATCAAAGAGCCAGTTGTGGCAAGATTATTGATAAGATAAACTGTTAAAAATAATATTAAACAGCTGCAGATGCATTCGATGAGTACTTCTTAAGCTTGAGTAATATCTCACACTGATGTGACCTCTGATTTTAATTATCCAAAATGCTCAAAGAAATTATACATGCAAGCTGGGAAATGTTGATTTATGATCCTGAATCCAGATTACCAAGATAATCATGGAGAATCATTTGAATTTAGTGGTTCCTGGTGAGACCTTCCTCCTGATACATTTCTACAATTTCAATATCAAGAAGTTCTTCAGACTGTGCAACTACATGCTGTGTACACTTTTGAATTTGCTGTGTAGGAAAAAAAAAAAGTCAGCAGGAACAATGTACTTTTTGTACTTTGCTTCGCTGAAGAAAACTTCTTACATTTTTTCAGATTAAATTGATTTTTAATACTGTTCAACAAACAGCCACAATACCAGCTGAAGAAATGATATCAGTGAATTTTTATTTTACAATCTGCTGAAATTTCTGTAATACAGAAAAGATCATCTGGGAGCAAAACAAACACTGAACTGCACACAGAGTCAGACACTTTATATGGAGTGGTTACAAGGAAGAGCCTTCATCTGATTGGCAGAATAAATCCAAAAATTAGATTTTTTTTTTCTGATTTGACTGACTGACCCCCAACTTTCCCCAAAGTTACAAGTTTTGCTGGGAATTATCCTTATATATAAACAAAAGCTCAGAACAAGAACAGTTTTATGAGTTTCTTAAAATTCTCATTGCTCAAAAAAAATCTGTTAAATTATTTCAGCGGGGCTAAAAATAAAAAAGAAAGAAAGCTGCACATAAAAAGACCACTGAAAAATACAAGATGTAAGGTTACCCTGTGAGTGAAATGACAAGGGCCTGGAGCTGCTGCAGAAAAATTATTATAAATACATAACAGCAGGGGAAAAAACATCATGCGCTTGACCTCATTAGAAGTGATCATGAGAGCAGTGGAAGCATCGGGGAAGAGTTGCAACAGTTTTACAGCATATTAAAGCAAATGAAGCGCTGCTGTGCTGTGTTGAAAGCCTACTCTAAGACATAAATATAAAAACGACCCCTACTGGTCTAACTCTGTTAGATATACAGCAATCTGACGTTCAGTACGAATCATGAGTCATCTTATGTTCCTTTCACATACAACAGGTCTGCCTGCTGCAGCTTCGATGCTCTGCAGTACCGCCTTTGGGCCACCGGAGGGGAGAAAAACGAGCATTAAGTGTGAGTTTATTTTAGGTCTGGTTTGTACCGAACCCGTAGCGGGACATTGAAGGACAAAAGAAAAACTAAACTTTCTCGAGCGCACCGGATGCTATCTCATGCACACCACTTAATGTCTCATTATCGCCAGATAATATGTGGGGCAGGTGAGATAGCATGTCGCTGTACCACATACTATCTCGTGAGAAGCAGATATTTGGTGCGCATGAGATGGAATGTGAATACTTGATAGCGTCACGAGCGCACCAGATATCTTGAGCGCAGGAGATGCTATCTGTTGCGCACGAGAAAGTATCTGGTCGCAGAGGAGAATTTTTTTTTCTTTTCTTTAATGTTCTGCTACAGTTCTATAGGTTTGCCAACAGGGTCCAGAAACAGAAGAAACCATTGTAAAGATGAGCCCAAAAGCAGCAGAGTGACTGTTCAGCTGACCGAGCTCAACATTGTGCTAACTTGTTTACACAACTGCAATAGCGACCAGGGGTCAGTGTTTACCATGTCCTGGGTCAGGTCACAGCTTATTGTGTCAAGAGTGTGTGTGGGTCTATAACCGGTACTCTCTGCTCGATGAACACACAGCAGCCTCACATCATTTCAAAAATATGCTTAATGTTGATGAATGAGGATTAAAAAATAAAAATTACAGGACCAAGTTCAACTGTTCCATCAAAATCATTAGCTTGACATTTAAAAGTATTCCTGCTTGGTTCGGTAATTGTACTTCAGTGAAAGCTGCAAGCTAATCCTGGTGATGAAACAGTTATTTGACATTCTGTTTCCTCCCAAGCTGTACCACCCTGTTTCCCTCCCTCCATGGCTCAGTGCTGCAGCTGCTTCATCCTGTTCAGGGCTGAGCCCGCCTGGAACCACTCGATCTGGGTCTCGTTGAAGCTGTGGTTGAGCTCCAGCGTCTCCTGGCTGCCGTCGCTGTGCGTCACAACCGCTGACAGGGGCTGAGAATGATGAGACGAGAGAAAAGACCCTCAGAGGAGATGTTTTTAAAGATGTATTTCTCAACAGCTAAAGTATATCAGATGTTAAATCTTACCTTTCCTGGTGCAAAGGATTTCAGTCCCTTGATGGAGATCTTGTCGTCGGGGCGGATTTTGTCGTAGTCGGATGGGTTGCTAAAGGTGAGGGGAAGCAGGCCCTGCTTCTTCAGGTTCGTTTCTGAGACATGGAGGACAAACTTTTCAGTTCAGATGAAAATCAACAAAACTAAATGACACAATTTTAATGTTCTTTACTTTATTCACTTCTGCTATTCTCCATTTATGTTATTTGTAATTACTGCTGCCACCAACTTCCTGTCTTCTTTTTCCATAAAGTCACCATTTGCTTTTGTGCTAGGCTCTCTCTTTCTTGGAAGGAATCATTGACAGAGATATTGCCCCTATTTTTTTTACTTGTCCATAGAAAGTAGCCCTGGTTCAGTGTTTCTTTGGGGAACCGTTTTCAGTTTTTTTTTTTGCAGGTTTTACTACTCAAATTTCAGACCACTATGAATTTAAGACCTATATCTCCACAGAAATGTATGAACTTTGTCCAGCCAACTGGGGAGAAATTTGAACTGCCGTGATATTCGCAAAAATGTTAGCTATACCTAGCTAGTTAGCAGTGAGTTCACGGTAGTCCTAACAGTCTCTAGTCACAGAACACAATGAAGATGTCTGAGTGTGACTTCAAACTTGCATAACGGAAAAGTCCCGCAACCCCGCCCCCCCAATAAAAACATGGGATATAAAAGAATAAATAGTAGATAAAATTTAAGACCTGTGAGTTACATATTAAAGGCAAACCTACTTTTTATAATTAAATTAAGACATTTTAAGGCCAGTTCTTCTGAAGGTGTCTTCCTGTTAAAACGGAGTGGTTCCGTTCAACTTCACTCCGTGCTTGATAACAAGAACAGATTGTTGTGACTTGATGGAGTTGACTGATGTTTATAAAGGCAACATTTTACCAATTGGCAAATACATTATCCAACTGTATTTGTGTTGTATTATATGTAATGTATTATATTTTATGTAGATTTCTATATTTTATGGAAACTGAACTCTTTTGTCTTGTAAAGGACACTTGTTAAAAAATTGGGCTATTTAAATAAACCTGACCCAGCCGGCTTCATGTTCATAAAGCTATTTGCAGCATGAACTGTGTGGCTTCACCATGGATTCGGGCAAAGCTCTTGACAATAATGGCTCTTCCACCCAGATGCCTGGGCTCCAGAGCTGCATGTTCTCTGCTGGAGCCCTCGCCGTAGTTATCATCTCCAACCACGACCCACGACACGCCGTTGGCCTGCAGAGGAGAAGCAATAAAAACAGAGGTTCACTGACTTTCAATTCGAGATTTAACAGCTTATTATCAAAGACAAATGCTTTTGAAACCAGTATAGAAATTTTCTAGGAATGGACTGTAATTTTTAAAATAAAATTTTAAAGATTATTACATAAAGGGGTGAATCATTTTGCAATTTTCGGCTGATTCCCATTTTGGCCATAACCATATTTTTTTTTGTTTAAAAGGTTGCTAAATGTAGCTAGAAATTTGCTAATGGGCTTGACACGTGGCGTGATGAACAACTCAAGGTGAACCCAACACATGGGACGCGATAGTGATAACAGCAATAGCAGTAGCAGCGTTAGCAATGGCAGCGGAAACAAAAGTTGAATTTTTTTCAACTTTTCCTGTGTACGCCTACGTGTTCTGGCTTTAAATTTTGCCATATGAGGTTCTATACGATATGAATAGTGAGGGAGTGATATTGCCTCCTGTGTGTCAAGAACCTTAAGTTGGAAAAAGTCGGGTAATTTGCTGTAAACTGGTGGGGGTCTCTCAGTCTCCCCTTTCTTATGTAAGTAATTATCGGTACAACAGTCACATCTTGAACTCTCACCTTGTAGTGTCGTGCCACATCAGGGACTCCTCCGTACTCTCCCGTCAGGTGGTTCTTGATCTTGTTGACGGCGTCGTTCTCGCTGTTGACAGCACCGATCAGCATGTTGTTGGAGATGTTATCCAGGTGGCCGCGGAACTTCAGCCAGGGTCCTGCGGCGCTGATGTGGTCCGTGGTGCATTTCCCCTTCACCTACAGAGAGACAGGTGAGAGTTATCCTCCGACGCCAGCAGCCGTGAGAGCGTTCCCATCTAACCTGGCGTGCGCCCACCTTGATGAGGACCACCATGTTTTCCAGGTCATTTCCGCTCCACTTGTCAAAAGGCTCCAGCAGCTGCAGCCGGTTACTCTGAGGACTGACGTCCACCTTGAGGCTGGCGCCATCGCTCGGAGGGTGCTGGTAGGTGTCCTGCCCTGGGTCGAAGTCCCTCGCTGGTAATTCGTCTCCGGTGGGGGGCACCAGCTTGAACTTCTCTCCCGTGGGGGTTGTGAGGTAATCTGTCTCTGGGTTGAAGTCTAGCGTCCCAGCGATGGCGAGGGCAGTGACTATCTGAGGGAGGGAGGCAGGAGGAAGGACGGTAGGTGCGGAATGTGAACCTGTGTGTGCTGGAAGGTGTGGACCGGTTTGGGTTTACCTCAGGAGAGGTGACAAACGCATGAGTTGCAGGGTTGGCGTCGTTCCTGGCGGTGAAGTTCCTGTTGAAGGATGTAACGATGGTGTTCTTCTCTCCCTTCTTCACATCCCGCCTGCACATAAACAAATATACAGAATATCAACACACAACCTTTGGTCAACCTGATTTATTACAACAGGAAGTGACAACACAACGAGACCCTTACTAAGATTTTATGTAGTAGACCAGAGGTCAGCAACCTCAACAATTTTAAGAGCCATGTTTGCCTTCAGTCCAGCTAAACAGCATTTGTTTAGCAACAGGACTCACTGAGTGTCTGTGATAAACCAACCCAAAGTAGCACAGAATTGGAAGGTACATGTCTAAAAGACCCGACAGTTGTTTTTTATATTGAGTGTTAAAAATCTTTATTTTTCATAAGCGTTCACCTGATGTCAGCTTAAAAATAATTACCTGTCCCACTGTCCAATGCAGGGTCCACATGCATTGGCAAGAACCACACCTCCAACATCGCTGAGGATCTTTGACTAAAAGATTAAAAAAATAAAAATAAAAATAAAAAAAAATAAAAACAGAACAGGGTTAATTTTACCACTTAAAAACGAGAAGTTATGTGCAGTCCATTTGTTTTTGCAATGAGCCAGCATTTACATATCCGTCTCTTTCGATGGTGGCACGGATCTGCTCGGAGCCGGGGGTGACGGTGAACTGAGCTTTGCACTTCAGGCCTTTGTCCAGAGCCTGTTTGGCCAGGGAGGCGGCTCGGCCCATGTCCTCGTAGCTGGAGTTGGTACAGCTGCCGATCAGACCTGCAAAGTGAAGCAGGGAAGAAATTCTCAACAAAAGTCAAGCCTGGATACACGAAGAGCAGCACATCTCCGTCTGTCCTCACCGACTTTGACCTCCAGCGGCCAGCCATTCTTCTTGGCCACGGCGCCGACCTCGGAGACGGGGTGCGCCAGGTCAGGGGTGAACGGCCCATTGATGTGAGGCCTGAGCTGGAAAGAAACAGCAAGAAAACACATAAGTTAGGAAGAAAAAAATCTAATGTGTGATGAATTGTTGGAACACTCCATCAGGTATAACAGGAAAAGGAAAGGACTGCAGGCGAGAAAGCATCATTTTATTATTAAACTGAACACTTGAGATGCCAGGCACTTCAGTCTGTAACTAAGTTTCATTATGCAGCAGAAATGTTTGTTTCAAAGTGGAAAATGGATGAAGTTTAAAACCAGAAGTTTGCGTTCAATATGGATTTCTTCTCCTGCCATTATTTAGCTAAATATCTGATGTATGCCTGTCGCAATAAGCAATAAATGAATTGGATAAAAAAAAATTAAACAGAACTCAATAGTTTCCATCTGCATGATTTATGTTTTCTTCTTTCTCTCTTTCTACCAAAAGCTGGATGATAAAATCCTTTTCTTGAATGACAGTTTTGTTCACAGAAACTTTATAATTCATTTATTTGTTGTTTCTTTTGTTTATTTATTTTGAATACTTAAAATGTCTTCCAGTTCCAGTGTTAAATGTTTATTAGAATTCAATTAATAAATCCCAGCTCAATTTAAGAATCAGGTTGACAGCAAAAACTATTGATTTTTTTCTACATATATATGGTAAATAAATAAATTCAGACAGTAAGGAGTTAAGACCTACCTCGTCCAAATTGAGTTCGATGATCTGGTCGTACTCACAGCCTTCATCTGGTACCAATAAGTCCTTGTACTGATCAGCCACAGCAGCGATCTCTGAGGGAAAACACACACATTTAATCACCGCTCTGCAGGTTCAGTGACGGATCACGCTCTCTCTCTTTTATTACAAATATATCAAAAAGACACAAACTGTAAACCCACCTCCTCGGCCGGTTTTCTCCAGGTAGGTTCTCATGCGGTGGTTGTATGGAAACACGGAGGTTGTTGCTCCAATTTCTGCTCCCATGTTGCAGATGGTGGCCATTCCTAAACAAGGCCAGCAGAAGATTCTGCAATTGTGCTTTCTGAGTCATAATGTTCATAGGTTTAAACGATTTCTTCATTGTGCTGACCAGTGCAGGAAATGGAGTCGACTCCTGGTCCATGGTACTCCACGATGGCTCCGGTGCCTCCCTTCACCGTCAGGATGCCCGCCACCTTCAGGATGACGTCTTTGGGAGACGTCCAGCCGGACAGTGTGCCGGTCAGTCGCACGCCGATCACCTGGAAGCGTGAAAACAGGGGAATGCATTAAAATAAAAATAGGTGGAAATTACAACTACCTGTAAGGAATCCATCCATCCATTTTCTTTACACCCTTATCCCCCAAGGGTCAGAAGGGGTGCTGGTGTCTATATCTAGCTGTCAATGGGCGAGAGGCGGGGTCACCCTGGACAGGTCGCCAGTCCATCGCAGGGAAACACAGAGACACACAGGACAAACAACCATGCACACACACTCACACCTAAGGAGAATTTAGACAGACCAATTAACCTGACAGTCATGTTTTTGGACTGTGGGAGGAAGCCGGAGTACCAAGAGAGAACCCAAGCATGCACAGGGAGAACATGCAGAAAGATCCTGAGTTGGGAATCGAACCTTCTTGCTGCAAGGCTACCTGTAAAGAATGAGAGAGAGAAAGAGAGAGAGAGATAGAGAGACAGAGAGAGAGAGAGAGAGAGGGAGGGAGGAATCGGCCCAACCTTGGGACATTTGAGCGCCCAGGGGATTCCAGTCATGACGTCTACAGCGTCGGCTCCGCCCACTCCGATGCAGATGGCGCCAAGCCCGCCGCCGTTTGGCGTGTGGGAATCTGTGCCGATAAGCATCACTCCTGGGTAGGCGTAGTTCTCCAGGATGATCTGTAGAGATGCAGATCATCTTGTTGGGGGAAATCAGGACTGCAACTAATGCTTATTTTAGCAATCGATTATTCTATAAATTATTCTGACAATCAATTAGTTGGATGAAAAAATTTTGAAATGCATCGAAAAATGCAAATAAACAGATTTTTTTATTTTTGTTAATAAGTAAATTAGTTTTCTATTGCCTGAAATGCAATAACTTAAAATTCCTTAAGTGAACACTGGATCATTTGTAGCAAAGAATGAATCTGCAGCTAAAACAATCCTTCTGACATCAACATGTGAGAGACCCCCCTCTGGATGTCTGACTCAACATCAACATTTTTTTTTTTTTGTTTGTTTTTTACAGAATTTCAACCTGTAAAATTCTGTAAATGTTACAGGTTAAAATTTGCAAGCTAAAACTATGCAACAAATTTATAAGTAAAGGGTTTTTCATCTTAAATACAAATTGTAAAGAACTGTGTTGTTTTTTCAGTAAAGGTTTTTTTGAGTCTGTATCGCCAAGTTAATGATTAATTGATGACTAAATTAATTGACAAACATTTCAATAATCGATTCATCATGATTAATCGTTTCAGTCCCTATGGAAATACAGAGCTACATCTGTAGTAGATCAGATTGGTCTCAAAGTTCCTGTTTCACTGTACCTGATGGATGATTCCAGAGCCAGGTTTCCAAAAGCCCACTCCGTATTTTGCTCCAGCGCTGGACAGGAAGTTGTAGACTTCCTGGTTCACTTCCTATGGGAACAAACAGACCTGTGGCTCAATTGAGGGTTACAAACTACAAGCAGGGCCGGATTTAAAAGGATGTGGGCCCCTTGAATGGAAACCATTTTGGTGCCTCGTTCACTAAAAAGTTCTTTGGCAAACATAAATTACAATATGTAGTCCTATACATAAACACAGTATGAACTAATGATGGCAGGTTTAATCCCTTGGCCAGCAGCTACATGTTGTTCCCCCCAGGCGGGGGATATGGACTTAAAGTTTTATCACAATATTTTGTGGAACTATTGTGATAAGAAACAAGAATTATTTGCTACTTCTTTTTTTAGGTAACTTTATGGCTCTCACTTAATGGCACAGCAATCACAAACAACAAACACAAATACTGCACTTGAAATGCATTGTAATGCTATTCTATAGGACACCAGTCACACAAAGAAGTATGATTTGCATCACTAAACTGCATGTAGTAACTGCATTTATTCATATTTTCAAATTAACTGATAATCCCAACAATACGGATAGTTTGGCACCTTAAACATCATTAACTGAAATTTCTTGTGACGACTATAAATGAAACTTCTTATCACAATAAGAAATTTATCACAATAATTGGTAAAAACAATACGATAAATGCCCATCCCTAGCATGAACACTGTTTATAATAATAAAAATCCCAAAATATCATTACATCTCACCTGATATGGGTCTATGACTTTTATATAAACTAAAATGTTTGCAAAACATGCATTTGTTACAATAAATAAATACATAATTAAAAGATAAAAGTTTGTGGGTATCCCCCACCCAAAAAAAAATGTTTTCACCCTGGGCTACTGCCTCTGTAAACCCTTTGTAAACTCTGGCCCAGTTCATAAGGCCTTGCAAAAGATATTACGGAGGTAGACTAACACAAATAATCCACTGTAGAACAAGCAGAACTTCCTGGTTCGATCGTCATGGTTTCACATCCTCCACTAGATGCTTCCTCACCTTTGCCCTGGCCAAATCCTTGACTCCGCCGATCTGGGCCTCGATCAAGTGATCGCAGTGGATGGTTGAGGGCACGGCCACCCTCGGCAGCCCGCTGCTGATGAATTGCAGCATGGCCATCTGGGCCGTGGCGTCCTGCATGGCCACGCGGTCGGGACGCAGCCGCAGGTAGGTGCGGCCGCGGTCGATCTCCTGGTGGTGGGGGTTGTCCAGGTGGCCATACACAATCTTCTCTGACAGAGTGAGAGGACGGTTGAGCCTGCAGACAGAGAAAACTTTGAGGATATTCCTGCCGGACTGAGGAGAGAAAATCCTGGTAGAATATACATCGACACAGATGAGGCAGAGCTGGAGGAAACCCAGAGCAATAGGCACTGACCTTTTTCGGACAATTTCGACGTTGCTATGGAGCTTGTCATAGTTGATGAAGGAAGTGGGCTCAAAGCGGCTCATGGCCACTTTGGCCTTGGCTCTGTAGGCGGCTGATACATGCAGGCGCCGTGCACCATGACCCAGGACCAGCTGGCGCAAACATCAAAAGATGAGTCCAAACACACAGCTGGAAATCTATTGAGGTCACCACTAACAAACGATTTCTTATTACAGCTCTCAACTTTAGCTGATATTACTAATATTAAGTATTGGCTGTTACTGATCCAATACAGAAAAACAGTGCAGAATTGACTAAAAAATATAGATATATTTTTTAAACATAGAAATAAATTTCCTTAATTACAAATTTATTTGATCACTTCAATACACCAACAGCTTGGTCAAACATGTAATAACCGCACAACTTTTATTTGTTTAGTCAGTGCTACTAGGACTTAACAGCCAATGAAAAAAAGAAAAAAAAAAGAAGAAACTGAAACTGACGAAAACAATAGGTTTTGGTTAAACATGTAAAAAATAAACTGTCGTGAACCTTCTTTCAAATGGTTCAGAAAGTGCAATTATAAATGCTAAATATAATGTAAAAGAAATAATAAAGCACGACGTCAGTCAGTGCACAAAGCATAAAGTTGGACTGAATAGATCTGTCCTTAGAATTGTTTTCAGTGTTGGGACCGATGCAGATATCGCTGCTTCTGTAACAAAAACCCAAGGAGTTGATATGACACCAGACCAATAACAAAAAGATTTCAATCCAGAAATGTCAGCTGACTGAAAAGCATGTCCAGTATATGCAGTCAGTATTTGGTTGGGCTCCTTTTGCATGATTACTGCGTCAGTGTGGCGTGGCATGGAGGCCGTCTGCCTGACTTTCAGGACTTTGGTGAAAATTCACAGTCCAGTTTTCTTCCTACTTGTGTTAGGAGAGGCTTCAGCACAAGAAATGTGACAGTCGTTCTCTATGTCCTGGATTTTATCGCCGGCATGATTTTTTTTTTTCTTTCACTCAACTTTTCATCAATAAGCTTGAACTCAGCCAGCTTCTTCAGCAATGACCTTTCATGTTACCAGCTGTCTGCTGAACAGGTTCCAGGTCAGCAATATTTCAAATGTTTGTGTAGCCCATAACATGTTTATAACATATTTATATTAGTCATAAGTTATATTGTATTTTGGAGTTTTCATTTAACATTGAGTGGGATCGTATTAATGTACTCATTTGCTGAGATTCAACTGTTTGTTGTTTCGTATGTCAAATTTAGGGAGGTATTACCTGATTGTGTTTTTTGATTTATGTGTTTATTTTGTTTTGTTATGTTTTGTTTTTTTGTTTTGGTCACCTAAGGATAATATTCAGTAGAAAATCAACTGCTTGCAGCACAGAAATCTGGAACCTTTTAAAGGCAAAATAAACAGAAGACATTCCGCTAACTTCAAATAAAGCAAAGAGATTTGAGATTTTTGAACACCATAGCTTCTGTGTTTAAAGGACCCACTGAGAGGTCTAACCTTGCTGTTAACCTTGCTAGTTGCGACCAAACCCGAGCGTTAGAACCAAAGCAACCGTAGCCGTTTGAAGGCTTTGGGTGTCTACGATAACATCTCATAATAACAGTGAATAACAGTGAATAACAGTGATTTGCGGAGTTGGTTAATTTTGAAGCAGCTGTCTGTCGTCAGCTAGATAACGTTCAGAGAGGCTCGGGACACGATGACCTGAGCAGCTTCTTCGCTTCCAGCCACACTTCTCTGACCTCCAGCGGGCTCACTAACGCCTCCTACCAGGTTTATCCGCTCGGAGACAACAGCTGACCCCGCTCTGCTGTCGGCTGAGGGGATTTAAGCTGAGTTTTGAGACTCTTACCTGGAGCCGGGCCACAGTCAGACAGTAGGTTGCCATTTTGTTCACTGACAAAGATGTGAGGGTCGAGTGTGACGTCACGCGATTGTAAAGTCTTTTCTCTTCTTTTGTGGTTATGATGAGTTGGCGCTTTCAATGTGCCGCCACCTACTGGAGAAAATCAATTACTACAAATTAGTAGTAGTGGACTTCATGAAGCGAAATCCTTAACTTAACTGTGTACAGGTGGGTAGAGAAGCCACATTTTGTACTCAAGTACGAGTAGCACTTCTACAACATATTTTTACTCAAGTAAAAGTAAAAAGAAGTAGCTTTCCAAGAAATTACTCAATTATTTGCTAAAATAAAATAATATCATATGATTTAATATTTTAAAATTATTTCATCACACATAAAACATAAAGTCATTAGCAAATTCTGATATTTGAAAGACAAATATAAATAAAAACTACAATAAATAAATTCAAGTTCAGGCAGAAGAAACACTTTTTCATATAAATGTTTTAGAAATCAAAATTTACATTTAGGTAGTGTGAATATTATAACTAGGTAACATACTTCCAAGGACAATATGTAGTATTTACAGTATTTTACTAATGGTAAAATAATGGTAAAACAGGCTCAGCAGATAGAAAATAACAAAAGAACTACAAAGTTGGTGTAGAAACAAGAGGACTGTATGAGTGTGAGTTTGCTCTCTTTTCATTAAAATTATTTGTATTGGATAGAGTATCCAAACATTTGAGTCAACTAAGACTTATAATATTACTTGAGTAATATTATTAAAGTAAAAAGTAAAAATCAAAAAGCAGAGTGCAGTAATCTACTCCTAAAAGTATTTTTCCCCAAAAAGTTATTTAAGTAAATGTGAGTAAATGTACCTAGGTCTTACCCTCATCTGATTATAACTGACACTACCATAGGTCAAACTTGTTTTTCATCAATAATAATATTATTCATACCCAGTTTCAACAAAATATTATTTCTGTACCTTCAGCTGCTTTCTATTGGGAAAACTTTTATTTGGCTAAATTTAATGTTCACAGATCTAAACTTTCATCATCTTCACCTTTTTTGTAGTTTTGCTTTTTGGAAATAAAATAATATTTATATGCTATTTCTAAAAGTTCAAACAAAAAAATCTGTAAATACATAGGAATGCTGTAGGTCAACAAATATATTTAATTTATCATCGTGTCCGCTTTTTATTTCATGCATTTATTGCAGAAGCCTGGTATTTATGTGGATATTTCTCTTACTTAACATCCATTTACGTGACTATTTAACTTCTTGTGTCATTTTATTATTTGGACAAATACTGATACACTGATTTAATTTCTAGCAATGATTTCCAAAGTTGTATTTCCTTATTGGAGCCGCCAGGTGGCGGTAATGTGGTAACAGAAACTCAGGACTCGGGTGAAAGGTTGTAGTTGAAACACACTAGCACCACTCGGTGTAAGTTAGCCTAAAATGGCCAAGCATCATCCAGATTTGATTTTTTGTCGAAAACAAGCCGGTGTCGGTAGGTCTGACTTAGTTTGTTTATAAATAACATACCAAGCAGTTTTACATCACCAGAGGCCTATCTCTATTACACTCTTAGCATAGCATTAGCCGCTAAGCTAATTGTTGGAGCATGGATTTCAATGAAAATGTTAGCTGTGATGTTAGCCTTTACGTTTCTTCGTGCATGTTTGTTCCCCTTACACACTATCAGTTACTTTTATTATGGTTTGTTTATCGAGCAAAAATAATCCAATTATGAAATGTGAGTTTTAATACATTTTATAGTTTGACTGACTAACCTCTTTGTTTCAATTCCGCAGCTATCGGGAGACTTTGCGAGAAATGTAAGTGTTGTCGTCTACATTTAGCTAACACACCAACAACTTTGTTTCAGGAATTGCAGCGAACATCTACTGTAGCTGGTTTTATTGCAGTACTACTTTGGTTTCTTAGTAAAATGTACAGATTAAACATGGAGTCACCTGTAAGTTACTGTTTAGCAGAATCATTTTGTTGGAGGGGAAACATAAGAACAGATTCAGATTAAGTGTGTTGAGTTAGTTGTATTTACCTAATTAAACAAAGGCCAAAAAACTCATTCACTGTTCAACATTGTAGCTTTATAAACTATATATCTTTAAAAAAATAAAATAATCTAGTTGTAGAATGACATGTAATGTAAAACTAATTTTGTGTGTTCTCCAACTACAATTTAAAAACTGACAAAAATTTGACCTGCCAGCACAGGTGGTTGAAACACATGGAGACATTTTGTTTGTAATTAGAGCAGAATTACAACAAACCAATTAAACTTTCATATTGGAATATATTTGATCCAATACAGAGCATTTATCTTTTAATAACCATTCTTTTTGCATTCTCCTTAATTGCATAGTATTTATTTGATGTCTTTTACTCAAAAGCAGTCTTGCCACGTCCACTGTAGAAATATCTTCCTTAAAATGACCATGAATGTCAAATTCGTACCTTACGTTTTACTTTTGGGCCTAACTGGAGTGAGAATTTTGAGAAAAATTGCCATTCTGACATGAGAAACGTCTAGGAACAACATGAAGTTTAAACTACAGCTAAAAGTTCCCCTTTCTGTCCCTTCCCTGGCCCTCAGTTCTTCACCTGGCTCCCTCTTTTCTTCAAGGTGATGGAAAGTGTGTGATCTGTGACTCTTACGTGAGGCCGTGCACGCTGGTGCGTATTTGTGACGAGTGTAACTACGGCTCCTACCAGGGCCGCTGCGTGATCTGCGGAGGGCCTGGTGTGTCTGACGCTTACTACTGCAAAGAGTGCACCATCCAGGAGAAAGACGTGAGTCTCATCTGCTGTGATTTGTCTACTGTGTGCTTCTCCAAACACTTCCTAATCTTTTTTTTTTATTTTTTTGATTCTGTGTGCAGAGAGATGGATGTCCTAAGATTGTGAACTTGGGCAGCTCTAAAACAGATCTGTTTTATGAAAGGAAGAAGTATGGCTTCAAGAAGAGGTGAAGAAACCGAAGTCTGGGCTTTTAGTTTTGCAGTTTTTCTAAAGCATCCACAAAAAGAAACATTGTTTTTCCTAAATAAAGCTTTTCTTTTCTATTTCTCTGCATTTTATTTATTTTTGCTTGAGTCTTTGTGCTTGTAGAAGTCCCAAAGAAGGACTGATTTTCAGACTGTTGAATACTTTCTTCAACATGCTATATGTTTAAAATCTTGACAGAAACATGAGTTATTTCAAAACCACAGGATTAATATATACAGACTATAGTAGAGACTAGGGATCCAGGATATATCAGCTTTCACATCGGTGGCAGCTGATGTTAGTCTTTTTGAACAACCAATGTTCATTTCCTTCTTGTGTACCTGAAGGGGGAGGGGCTTGATCATGTGACCATGATGGTGACCAGCACATGATTGTGGGGTGTTTAACTGAAGCAGAGAAGCAATGTCTGTTTTTTCAGTGTTGTATGGTTGGGAAAGACCTGTCCAGGGTGTACCCCACCTCTCGCCCAGAACGTTAACTGAAGATGGGCACCAGCACCCGTCCTGACCCCACTAAGGGACAAGGGTGTTAGAAAATGGATGGATGGGAAAGATGTATATCTGAATATTGGTTATCAGCAAAAATAAAATTGGATAACCATCTACTCAAATTGTCACATTGGCACATCCCTAATAAAGACATATTAATAGTAGTGGCTTTAAATTACATTGGTGAGATTGTACAAAGATTGTAATAATTTATTGGCAACCCTGCTAAAGACATGGTAAAAAAATATCAGTCTGTTAATATAATAACATTATTTCATGCTGGAAAATCAGTGCTACTTCTCTAGAAGTAATCTTAGAAGCTTTACCTTCCTTGTGTTACAATTCCAGTTTTAAACATTTCAGGTTAGATGAATTCATGATATGAATAATATGAGTAAAACTAGAATACTCTGGAACACAAACCATCTTCTGGAGTTGAGTCATTTGACATAGGATTTTTTCCCTCATAAATAAAATGTACCTAATTTTAAAGCTGGTTATTTATTCATACATGAGTGAATAAAAAATTTTACTGAATCTACACACTTCTTCTATATAATAAAACTTAATGTCTAAAATGGGAGTTGAAAGTAGAAAGTTTTCAGGATGTATATAAATATTTTTGTATCTCAAATAAAAGGTTTGATTTTAAAATAAAATCATTTTCACATGGTTTAAAAAAAATAGCAAAAGATCTCCCCAAACAAACTTTTTACAGATTTTCACAAAGGGGTGCTCCAACCTGTAGAGGGCGGTGTAGATTTTGTTTTCTTTACTTCAGCGCAAAATCATTCTGAAGATGTTTTTCTGTTAGTTAGAATGGGAGAAAGAAAAACAAAAAAACTCCAAACCTGTCAACAAGGCTTTAATTTTTCATACAATATATACAAGATGGCGTCACTCAAAATGCCATATGTTTAAAAAAGAAGAAAAAAAAAAGAAGTAACCAGCAAGTTAAGAATTTGACCTGTTATAAAGAAAAGGCAGATTTGGCCTCCATTACAGCACAAGGCAATCAAAAAAAAAAAAAAAAAAAGCCAAACACTTATTTTTTTACCCACAAAACCTGATTTGTAAAATATACTTCATTACATGACTGAAAATAATGAAACCTTTAGTTGAATAAATCTAGAATATTCCCCCAGTAATGACTTGTATGTCATAAACGTACAAATGCTGTTACATTTTTTTTAAGTTATTATATTCCTCACATTTCAAACCCCTCTTCAAATTAAAAGGACAAAGTATTGAACTGATCTGATCAAACCAGTAAAGAATGGAAGCACAAGAGCTAAATAAGAAATGCTCCTTTCCCTTTTATTGTCAGAGCTGGAAAGTTAGATAACCTGAGGGTAGGTCAGAACTGGTACTGTAAACTGGGAGACTGCAAGCTGCATTGAAATGGCTTTAGACAAAGAAGAGCGTTTAGATTAAGAGATTCTTTATCTGTGGAAAAGAGGCCCCATCACAGAATGTATCAGAGAACACCAGTGATACAGAACGGACGCTTTTAGCTTACATGCTGCAGCAAAAATACATTTGGAAATAGTTAGCTTGATGTATGACCTTATGTTGCTGTGTGTTAGAGGTTTTTTGCTCCAACTTGTATGAAACAACTGTAAATATGAACATTAAAATATCTGCAGTATAATACATACATATGGTTTTATTTCCCTAAAAGGGCTTCATATTTTTTCTGAGCCTTCCCACAGTCCTAAGAGGCATTGAATGGATCTCATGTGAGCTTTTTACGGTCCCGGCGGGTTTGCAGTTACACTGTCCCCACATGCACTTTTATCTGATTCTCTTTTGTTTGTTTTCCTCGTGGTTTTGGGAACTGACAGAACACCCCCCTTCGCTTCCCCACTGTCCGACCGTGACATCTGCTGCACTCTTCCTAAGCTAAGTCGAGCGGTGACTGCGGGAGGATTAAACCTGCCAGCTATGCTTACAGAGCCAACACAACATCTGAGGCTGACTAAAATGGACGAGTTGAAGCAGCAGACATCCTGTAGGGATGAAAGCAGGAGTCCAGTCTGGTGAGAAAGTGCTAGACGGACAGACGACAGACATCAAAGCAGGGTGTTAGAAAGTAGTTCGCCTCTGGAGTGATAATGAAAACATAAAAAGAAGTGAGCACGGCTAGGTTCTGGTTTTTCTTGTCTTTTTTTTTTTTTTTTTTGCCATGTCACTGAAATCCCCTGAAGAAGATCAAGTTACTGGAAGTGTCACAGTCGGACGTTCTAGTGGGCAAAGACAGGCCCAGCTCTTCAGAGCAATCTGGTATGAGAGAAGTATGAAAAATAAAACTGCAAACCAAATGACCTGATCTAATCTAAAACCACGGCATGGACTGCCTAAACATCACCGGACAAGACTTAAAAACTCAGGAGTTCTTCTAAAATAACTCATGGATATGATCTCTTTCAGGCTACAGGTGTACAAAACAGAAAGTGCACCAAACAAATAAGGCGTGCTGAAGAAGCACTTGAATATCCACCTACATTCACCTCATTCAGAAAGGTGGTAATACAAAGGATTAAAAAAAACAAACAAAAAAAAAACAACAGATGATATCTTAATATTTTACATCTCCATGGCAATGTCACATCCTGCCTTCACAAGCTCTTCCACTCCGCCTTGACGTCATCAGATCGGTTCTTGCTTACCCCCGCCAACGGTTTGATTTATTTATTCATCAGAGAAAATAAATGAATAAATCAACTGATGTCTATTCGTCATCTGGCGGCGCACTTGAAAGAGAAGAGAACAGGGATGAATGAGCGGGAAAACAGCAGCAGGTGCCACAACTGAAGCAGAAAGAATACTTTTCTTTGTCCATCAACAGTGAATCTAACAGGAGAATTGGATTTTAATTTACCGCCTCACTCAGAGAACATCGGTGTGTTTCATCAGCTCTCCTTTTGCCAGACCAACATAAGAAAGCTTATTTCACACATGCACCACTGAGCTGTCACTTCATGTTACTGTCCAATTTCAAGGTGGAAGACATAGTCCAATCATCAGTTTTCACTCACTGTGCCATAATTAAAAAAAAAAAAAGTCTTGTTTGTGGGGTGCACTGATTGATAGATTTCTGGCCAATCAACAACTTTGGTTGAAATCCAATTTATTTATTTTTTTCCCGTTCTATAACGGCACAGTCAGGTGCTATAAGGTAATAACACATATTCAATATTCCAATCTTATTTTATGGAAAAATATGAAACAATACAAATTTGCTTTGCCAGAAATTCGGCAGTGCTCTCAAATTAAAATGTTGAGAGCATTGTTGTTCAAACTACGAAGTAAACAGAAGAAAAAAAAAAAGCTCCTTTAATTTTTTTATTTTTCTCATTTCTACATCTTTTTAGTTCTCTTTCACAGCAAAGCAAAAGGAGACAGCAACTGATTTTCATTTAACATCTGTAGATAAAATCAGCTTGGCATGTAAGAATCGACGGGCCGGTCGATCAATTGGTGCACCCCGACTTATTTTGATAATTCAACAAAAACAGAGCACTTCAAGCACACCAAGATGACGTTCAGGATATCTGCGAGGCTGGCCTGCAGTCGGCTGCTTGCTAACTGTAGCTCTAAAACAGGGCAGTTCATCAGGTCAGGCTGGGTTTGCACCAGTTAACTACAAATCAGAAATGCATCCAGGTCACCCTCTCCACTCTACTCTACTGTCACAGACATCCTTCATGTTTAACGCAATAAAAATCATGAAATGTCTTTTTTTTTTTTTTCTTTTTTTAGCAGAACAGATGATTTGCTACCTGCTACTAACAATCGGGACTCTGTGGGACTGAGGTGGGACACTGCGCCATCAACTGTGAATGTGTCCCACTGACACGTTCAAACACGTCTCCTCATGACCCCTTACATTGGTCCGTATTTGGATTCGTAGCGACCCACGACGTTCTTGTATCGGCCGCACTCCTTCCGCAGCTCGGCCACCTCCTGCCGCAGCGCCGTGTTCTCGCGCTCCAGGAACGCCGCTCGGACAGTGATCTGGTTCTCCTTCAGTCTGCGGGCATCTCGTGAACGTTTGGCGGCCATGTTGTTCTTCTTCCTCCTATGCCAGTACTTCTCGTCCTGGGAGTAAGAGATGGCAGAGAGCGGATTAGACCCCGAGTCCAGGGGCGTTATCGGAACACATCCGTTTGAATCTGATTCTGCCTTAAAGCAAGATGGCAGACAGCCAGTCTCCTTTTTGTTTACAAGCAAAGCTCTGTGTTCTGGGGCGAGCCTGGAAACTGAGACCGGAAATGTCAATTTCAGGAAACCGCTGAGTCACTGTGAGTTGCAAGAAGCACTGCTGCAGTCTATTCATTCAAAAGCACTTCAGCAATAACAACAGCTTTCTCTTAATTAATCATTTTAACACAGAGGCCAAAATTTAACTCTGAGCTGTTGAAATTTGTTGGAGAAAATAATATCCCTCCTTCACATCTCAGAAAATCAAAGCCACACTCATCTTTTTTTTTTCCTTTCACATCTTTTTCTAAGAGGTAGTTTTAGGACTAAAAACCAGGATTTTAGTATAGTTTCTAATTATCCACTATAAAAGACATTAAGTTAAGAAATTTACACAAAAACCAAATCTTTCAAATATGTTTCACAATAAAAGCTGTTCAAATCAGAGTTCAGTTTGTAGTTTTTATTATAATAAGGAAAGCGTGACTACAGAGTAATAAGTGACAGCTATTTAATCCAATCCTCAGTGACAAAAATGGTTAAATGATTGACAACACTGAAGATTCAAATTTTGCTCAATACCAATTTTTCTTTGCCTGAAAAGTTGCAAAATATAGCAATAAAGTTTCTAAGTTAGCTACAGCGGGGTGACTGTTTTTAATAGAAGAACATTAATTATTACACCGTCTGCTTTCTAAGAAGACTAGAGAAATCTATACTGAGTTCTGTTTTTACAAATATTCAAGAGAAATCTGAATCCACTACAATCTGCTGCGTTCCAGTCAAACCCACCAGACACTTCTTCTCTAAATAATACAATGCAAAAAATTATTTGTAAAAATCACAAGCACTGACATGCATATTTATGTCTTCCTCTCGGCCACATCTTACCTTCTGTTCTTCAGGGACAAACACCTTCTTGGCCTTTTTGATCATGGGCTGCGGCTTGAGCTCCTCCTCACTGAACTTGTGTTTGCGTGGGTTGAACAGTTCACCTCCAGGAACGCTCGACAGGACCAGGTCTGTGGGGTCCGGCTCGTAGTTGACCTTCACTTCGATTTCGTCTGGGTCAATGGGCTCCGGAGTCGCCCTTTCCTGTGAGGTGGTCACCTCTAAGCAGACGAGCAAGATGAAAACAGATATCAGACAGCTGCAGGGATAAAATAAAAATAACCTAAACTGACAGATTTTATTATTTTAATCCTTCCATGTTACTGTTCCCATTGTGTGCTACACTGGCTTCCATGTGTGCAGTCTGTAGATAGTACTGCAGTAAACTCTACCCTCTTCACTATGCAGCCAAAACCATTTTCACTCCTGGTTTGTTTCAAATAAGTGTCACACTCAGGTCACAGCATATCAAGTTTCTTAGCCATCTATAACCACCAGACCACCTAAATATTAAAGATTTTAATTTTAACATATCTGATGTGTACATAAAAAAACAGAAACCAAAAATGTCAGAAAAAGCCAAGTTGTTACCAAGTTCCCCTTAAAATACAAAATGGGAAGAAACACAAAATTAACTCATAAATGGTGAAGTACTTGACATAGACTGATGATGTGCATATTATTTTTTATATCATTTCTGAATTGCACAATTATATTATTATATAGTGGAGCAATTTTTATGTCAATAAACAATATTAAAAAGATGCAGTAAGGGGAAAAAAGTTGGTTAATATCAGGATATTAAATAGAAATGATTAGTTTCAGCAAGTAGAAAAGTACAAAAATACTTCAGCTATATTTACACAGAAATGTTGCGTTTTTACAGGTGAGACCACTTCTCTGTTTGATGATAAAGTACTGAGATATGTTGCTGATCGAAACTTGTCTGAAAATAATCAAATTTGAATTTGCCCAATACATTTTATTTTTAGAATTTCTGAATCATAATTTGAACAACCAAACTGGGTAAACACCACCCCGGTTTACCAAAAAATGCCATTCCCTGCTTTCTGCACAGGTTTCCCACTCACCTGTACTGACGTCGCAGGTAATATCCAAATCACTCTTTGTGATAATCACCACTTCCTCCTCGCACCTGTCCAGCTCCGTTATGGGCAGCAGGGTCATGGGCTTGCTCTTTACTTTCTCAGTTCCGGCCACGCTTACTTCTGGGACTCCCTTTAAAGCGGCGTTGTCAGGTGATGTCGGGATGCCATTCTCCATGAGGAATTCCTCCAGGTCCATGTACTCCAGGTGGAAGCTCTCACCGTCGTAGGGAATGGTTTTATCCCAGATAGCAGGGGTCAGCGCGGCCGAAGGCCCCATGTCGCTTCCTCCTCCGGCCAGGTCGGCACTGCCTTCCAGACCTAACTTCTCCTTATCCGTGTCTGAAAGAGGCGGCAGCAGGTTACGGTTGCACTTCTTTATGAAAAACATGTCTTAAAAAAATAAAGAAAGAAAGAAAACAAAGGAAGTTTTTTCCAACATGAAAACAATTCCTGAGAGGATCAGAAATGTGAGAAACAGCCGGGGGAAAGTGAACCGCGGGGTTGTGGCTTTGACAAGAGGAGACAATGCTGAGTCACGGACAGAAGCACTGCCCACTTTTAACATACGTTTAAACCTGCAACAGGAGTTAACATGTCTCTCCTTCAGTGAAACAAACGGGCCACTTCACGTTTGCCTCCAAGGCAAAACAAGAAGTTTAAACACCTATAGGGTGTTCAGATAGAAAAGCACTCAGGTTAACTATTTGACTGCCAACTCAAATTTGTGGCGCCAATAATAAAAATTTGGGTTTTGTAAATTGAAATATACAAAAAACAATAGTTTGTTTTTTTTGTTTTTTTTTTTTTCATTAAGTGGAGTGGGAGGAGCTATGGGAAGTGCCCTTGGCTGACTCTTTGATGTTTGAACCAATCAGTAGAGGAATGTTAAAACCTGACAGGTGTGTCCACCTTCTTGGTCTGAAGCCATTAAAAGCAACTTATCAGTTTAGGCCTGTCAATTAAATCAATTAGTTCCGTGATAAATTAGAACAAGCTCAATAATTTCTATGTGCCTGACTTATCATTATCTTTGTACCAAAAACTGAATAATAAAAGTCTTCAGACTGGTGCTTTGGTCTCAATCAGCCCTTTTTGTTGAAGGACAATTTTGTTTACAGACATTTCATAATTTCTTTTATCTGTTGTTCTGTCTTCCAGTTTCCAGTGTCAAAAATTTGTTAGAAATTATTATTTTTGTTGAAAATAGTCTCAAAATAACAAGATTTTTGTTCACTGCAATAACTTCTGGGACAATTTATCATCCAGCAAAAGTTGTTATTGGCCTATATCAAATAGTCAATAAAATTTGTTCACTTCAGGACATCCAAAGTGCTAGTGGAGCCCCCTAGGTCATGGCACCCTGGGTAGTGACCTACTCTAAAATATCTGAGTGCAGTGAGTGGCAAACTATTTGAAAATAGGACGGATAACATAGTCCAGAGCTTTACTGGGACTTTTACATTTTATTAGCTTACAGTATCATCGTGCATCCGGATAGCATCGTCACCCTACCCACGCAAGCCCCTCCCGCCTGAACCCAAATACCCGCTACCAGCCAGTACAGGGCGTCCTAGTTCTTCATCCACCATGCATAAACCAGCAGTATGGTTTATGCATAGATGTGTTATTGTAGAAAACCTACAATAAGAAAACCTACAATAACGCAATATTTTTGCTAATCTACAATGTTTTGCCTGAACAGTGTGTGCTCTCTGTCCTCAATCGCTCAGCAGGTGGCATTTAACAAGACAGGAGCGACAAGATTTCGCGGGAAGCTACATTTGCACCAAATTAAGCAGATACAAATCTAGAAGCTAAATTGAATATTTAATGTAGACGCCAAATAAAACGTCAGCATCACCGAAGCTATATTCAAAACACGGGGCGTGTCTAGAAACATCTAGACTGCGAGCTCTGTCAAAGGAGCAGAGAGGCCACTGTTTAAAGGGGCCATCCATATATAGACTATGCTATTGCCGTTATATCTTTCTAAGTCACTCGTATTGGAAAACCCGCTGTAGTAAACGGCGTTCTCGCGCTGTTCCCTCCGTTGTTAATGGGTTGAGAAGTCAGTTTTTACAGGTCCACACTCTCTGCTCCACCAATGTTTTCCTCTTACCGTCGTCCCCATCCAGTATATTCGGTGGGGGCATTTCCATTATTTTCTTCAGAACCACCGGGAACGAGCTTGGAGGCTCTCCGGCTGTTTCCAGCTTTATGTGAATGGGCTCCACCGACATGTTTTCCTCTTCCCTTGTTGTTGTTGTTGTTCACGGCGAAAGAAGCAGTCACCGCTGTTTTCCACTAAACCCTGAGTTGAGCGTCTGCGATATTATTTATTCCGCTGAGACATAAAACGGCTTATTACTCCGAAAACACACTGAAAAGTTGCCCGAACATCAAAGAATCGCAATAAGTTCGCTTCTCTAAACACACTTCCTCTGAAAAAAAATGGCATTCAAGGTTTTGGTGTACGGGGGAAACCACGCCTTCTTATTAACATGTCTGCTCCGCATCGCTTCGATTGGCATACTGGACCGCAACTCATTAATATTAATTGAATTGCAAGAGTAGGCGGAGCTCTGGGGTAGTAGCCGCACTCTTATTGGTTAACCGTGTTACATGTTTCACGGAGTTGTGCAAAAAAAAACTAAAAAGACCTGTCACACGGAAAAACGTATTCATTTTTAGTCAAAACACCAGTAATTATACCCATTTCACCAGCTTTGCAACTTATTTATGTCAAACGCACCAACTTATAAGTTTTAGTGTAACTTTTGCTTAGGAATGGCCTGTATGATATGTCAGTTGCTTAAGTTGCTCAAATTAACCCAATTCCCAAACTGGCAGCAAAAGTGTAAACTAGAAACACTGACGAGATGTAAACAAACTCATATTGACGAGCCTCTGCTTTTGTGTTGCAGCGCCGCTCACGTGGGGACACACGTGCTGCTTGCCGCGCTTACATATCTGCTGGCTCCATCCAGCCCTGCGGCTCTGTATCTGTGTCTCTCACATGCAAGAGGGTGCAAAAAGGGCGGCCGCGGTGGAGAACTCGTAATTATGCATGCATGTCTGACACCTTCAGGTGTCAATTTCTCCTGCAGCCTAGCTGAGCAGACACACCAAGGGCAAAGAATCTGTATGTCTCTATGTCCAGAAGACATAGCAAGACAGAATTAGCATGACCAGGTTAGTCATGGGTAAAAGAGGGATTGTGATCATAATGTACATAATGTACATTCAAACACTTGTACCCATGCGGTTGCATATCTTGCCAAGGAAACCACTGCAAACTGCATATCCTGTTGTCAAACAGAACTTGTCTGACAACATGAAGTACGCAAAAATACCTAAAAAAAAAAAAAACAACACACTCTGCTCCGAAATTAAAAAATGAAATGAAGGAAAGATTAGATCCATCGGTATGGAAAAGGGTTTTAGGCATTGATGATTAAAGCAAATATCAGATTCACCACTGTTCCGGGGCCAATGAAACTCACCCTAAAATGTCTTGATGACTCATGAAGGTTGACGAAAAACCAAAAACTAAAGCTTTGCAGATCTCTCTTGGCTCAGATTAAAAAAAGGCCACTATCTCTCCGACATCAAACACTTAATGGCAGTTGTTGCCGCCAGAGGTGAAACAACCAGTTTTTTGGCATAGGGTGCATTTACTTTTTCACATAGCATCAGATTGTTCACTAGGACTTTTCCCTTAAATAAAATGATGGTTTAAAAAATTTTATTTAGCATCTTTGTCCAAAATAAAAGTGTTTGATGGTCTAAAAAAACATCAACAGAAAAAAACAGAAGAAATCTGTAAAGCAGATGATACTTTTTCACAACACTGTAGCAGGCAGGAGTTATTTGTCTGTAGCAGACAGTATGTACAAACTGTATGGTTTGTACATGCTGTTTGTATGTATTTGGCCAGCATTGTGAGTAACTACAACAAGCACGCAACCCTAGAGCTATAAAAGATTTTTATGGCGGTAGTAGAAGAGGCCCCAGCTATTCTTTATGTAAAAAGGAAACACGTATGACTTCTTTTAGGTACTGTTTGTGCTAACAAACTGTTGAAGTCATGAGTTTGCTCAAGGTTATGCACTATATGTCATAACCTATAGTGCATGAAGCATGTCTCAATCACATATCTCAAGTGATTGAGATATGCTTCATGTTCTGATGCTTATCTAAAAGCAATTCCAGTGGTGCCAGTCTTGATCATGAGACTTTGAATTTTGAGGCAACTTCATCGCAATTCAGAACATTACTTCTCACTTCCTGGTAATTTTTGTCTTTCTCGCTAGAATTTCCAATTTAGTTTCACTATTGTGGTCAGCTTGAGGCATCCTGCGACACAACAACGGCTTCAAAAGTGGAATTTAGCATTGATTTGTTACGGCTAAGCTCCTTACAAAAAGGCATCATGGGATACAGTGAAAGAAAGAACAAACTGGTGGCTAAGATGGGACATAAAATTAAGTCTATAGAAGGTCGTTTGCCTTTTTTTTTTTTTTAACATCTCCTACATTTTCTCTTGCTTATTTTTTTATACTAAAGTAAGAAATAAACATAAGTCATACAGGATATATTGTGTGGCCTTTCCTGCTTCATAACCCATGAACCATTTTGGGAAATCTGCTAAAAAAATTTTTTTGCGTGAGTGTGTTTCTTCTCCCACACTGTTTATTGTCACAGTGTCAGTCTGGACTAATTGTTGACTGGAAAAATGTCTTCAGCCTTTGATTATGGCAAATAAGACCTAATTAGACAAATGGAATCAAGGAACAGCTGCAAACAGTGAACACCCACTTCTATCTGAGACATTATTGTGTTATATCCTGTTCTAGAATGGCAGACAGTGGCCACCCTTGCTCAAGGGGGTTTACATTTAACTATTCCTGCTACGACTGAGGTTATTTTAGAAAGTTTTAGAGAAATTATTAAATTCTTGACTTATAGAAGATAATGAGTGTCCTGCCAGGGAGGAGAAGCTGCTTAAGCAACTGATGTGAAACAAGATGACTGCGTGAGCACGCGCGGAATGGGTTGTGCAATTTTTTTTCTGGTTAGGAAAAACGTGCAACTGGTAACAGGAGAGGTTATTTACAGCTTTAAGCAAAACACAAAGTGGAGCTGCAAAAAACAAGAAAAACTTGCGACTGTAACATTAGTGAACACTGCTATGACAGCTCCAAGTCGTACAATTCAATTACAACATTGCCCACAGTTACTGCGTTTCCATTACGAATGTGTGCAAAGCTTTTTCGATATTTTAATGTTGAAAAAACTAATTTCACAAGTGCGGTGTTTCCATGAAGCAGACGTGATTTTAATTTGCATAAAAATCAGACGTGAATAAGTTTGTTAATCCAATAAGTCGTTTAAAATTACAAACATGAGGTATAGCTCAACCATGGCACTAGCGCTCGTCATCAACCATCAGAAGAGGCTGAAAGCTAACCTCCATCTGTCCAGTTGACAAATCGATCAGTCTGCTGCTCAACATTTACTTGGTTTGGTGAATTTCTGAATTGAAACCAGAAATAGTATCCAAAGTAGCAAGTAGGGATGCAAGTTTATTGATTAATGAATGAATCTAAAGTTGATTGATCTTAAGCTGCCGGTTTGAAAAACAAACAAAAACTGAGTTTTCTCTTACAAGAAGAGGCTCAGCCATCTTTGGATAACTTAAAGGGTAACATTTTTCATAATATGCTACATTAGAAAAAAAAACACCCTGAAACTTAAGGAGTATGTCGAGTTATTATATTTCAAAACCTAATTAAGTGTTTGGACCACTTCTCTTTCCCATTCTGGTATAGCCCTGCCATCTTGGTTTCTGTATCAACTGGCTCTGCTTAATGATGACCAACGGTGCCTTCATCTGGATGGCAGCCAAACAACAGCTGTAAAAGAAGGTGTAAGCTGACATTATTTAATTTTTAAATGCAGCTGATTTTAATCTAATAAACAACTAAACAACAATTAATTGAAAGTTCATTAATTGTTTGCATCAATAGTAGTGAGACTACCAACATTAGTCAGCTAGTACAAAATAGTTGGCTACCATGGAAACCAAACACTGGTACAGTTATGCCCCACCACTGCTTCAATGAAGTTGACTCTTCATTGATCTTCATTGGGCATCAATGAAGAGTCAACTTCATTGTTATCCTTCAGGCAAGATACTGCAATTTAAAATCAACGTGTATTACTAACATGTATAACATTATTGTGAGGTTTCAAGCAGAAAGAAAACAGAATGGTAATATAATTTAATCATAAACTTTCAAGGCTTCCACTCCCTTTTCCACACATTGACTCAGCAGAAATGTATCGGGCTCCACAATCACACGACACTTCAAAGAGACTTAAAACAGATATCACTGATGTCCGCTCATCCAAAGTAAACCTCTTACCAGTTTATCCCTCAACTTTCTTTTCAGAAGGGGGGCGTGGTCCTGTGCTTTCATACAGACGTGAATGTACCTACATTAAGTAAGTCTAAAAAATTGTATTTATCACAGCAAATCAATTTTGGCCACCAAACTGACAGCATTAAATGGAGGCAAATGTAACTTACTAGTGATTAAATGAATCCCATGCACTGAAACACCCTCCTCCACGAGAATTGCACATTCGCAAAGTATAGTGGCCATGTCCGATTTACAAGTAAAAGCCACTCGATCTCCGTAATAAAAGGATGTGCCACACCTTGGATTGTTCTTGTGAACAAAATCCCCCCCTCTGTGCTGAAACTTCAAACCTTCGGACTCCTTTCTGGAACCAGGGGGCTCAGATTCCTGCAGCCCAGCTGACACAAAATTACACGACAAACACGCGGTGACCCAGAAATGTTTGCAATTTCTCACTATCCCTCAGATGTGACCCGAATTCCGAGCAGAAACAAACTGAGCAACGTTTTACCTGAGATAAATCATTGCTCAAATGTGCAACTTGACTTACCATTGTCGTCAAAGTTCGGGAGAGTGAACGGGTGCTCAAGGAGAGCCCTGAAAATCTCGGAGATTTCTGTAGTCATGTTTTTTCTCCTTTAAACTGGAATTAAATAAAAATAATAATAAATTAAATGTTTCAGGGTGGCAACTTAAGCTTGTAGGGTATTAAAATGAAAGCGAGGAGACAGCTCAGAGTCCCGCAGATACACTGACTAACCCGCAATCTGTTGGGATAGTAACTTTAACGGGTCCCTCGCTGTGAACTCTGGACAAGTTACTTAACGTAGTCCCGCCTCCGTTTGCCACCGTCAGCCAATCAGCAACGCGCCTTATCAGGGAAATAAACGGAGCGAACACCGACTGGCTCGCGGTGTTGTTCATCACGACTTTAACAGCCAATCACGAGACGCAGTTACATTACTTAAGAGTAAAAAAAACGTGTAAACTCCAATTGCTGCACAGTGTGATATAAATCTTCTTTTGACCTATAAATTAGGCCAGAAGGAGACG